AGAGAAGCTGGGGATGCCCCATCCCTGGCAGTGCTCAAGGCCAGGTTGGACACAGGGGCTTGGAGCATCCTGCTCTAGTGGAAGGTGCCCCTGTCCCTTCCAACCCAAACCATTTAAGGAGTCTATGATTTAGCATCCAAACACCGAGGCCTCCAAACGTGCAGTCTCCCTTCTCAAACTATGGGCTGGAAAAACCCCCTCTCTGTGCCTTGGCTCCTCCTATGGAGGACTCCTACCTCCCTCATAGAAGAGTTGTGGTCGATAATGTTCACCAAGTGCTTTTTAATCCCCTGCTGACAGGTTCTGTGCAAGTGTGAGTTATAATTATGACGTCAACGTGGCTCAGATTTTCCTGCACGAGCCCTCAGCTTGCCACAGAGATGTTTCCCCAGCCTTTATGTGGATGCCATTGGGTTTGCAGCTTCCTGGCCTGTTGCAGGCAGCTCTAGGAAGGCCCGAAAGAAAGAATTCGATCCTTCTCATCAGCTGTGAAAGCCAAACCAAACCCCAAACCATTCGCAGTAAGGCTTTCCAAGAGGAAAATTGATTGGACATCAACAGGCAAGAGATGCAGCTTCGTTAAGGATGGGTGAATGGGTTTAGCTCCTACATCCAAGTGCCCATCAGGTTTAGCCCGTAGGTCACTTGAGTCTCCATGGGCAGCTGAGAAAACACGTTCTCCATCACATCAGCTCATCCAGCTAAAGTAAACCATGAGGTCATGCCACCAGCATAATGAGCACCTCTGCTTGGGTCCTCTGCACCCCCCAGGCCCAGCTTGCATACAGGTGTGTTGTTATTAAGCAGCTGGTATAACAACCCCATGCCAGTGCCAAGTATGAAACAGCTCCGGACCTGTCCAAAACTAACACAGCCAGGGCTGGGAATGGGGTCCAGGGGGTGCAGTTCTCCCTGCTGGAGAGGAAAACAAATCATCCAGGTTCCAAAGCAGGAATTGGGGCAGGAGGCTTGGAGGAATCTCTGTGCCTCTCCCCCCAGGAGAAAAGGAGTTAATAGGTAGCCAAGGCAAAGGTTTAAAAATAGAGCTCTTTGCATAGCTGTTTGGTGAGGTCTCTGTCACGTTGGCTGCGTTTGCTGCTCCGCTCTGGTCCCAGCAGGTTTGTCCTGGTGGGTGTTTGCAGGGATGGGGAATGGGGGGAAAAAGGCCTTTGGAAAAAGTGATTTTGGAGCGCAGGTGATGGGGCTGAGTCTGGTCCTTGGTCCCCTTGGCTGGAATGAACCAGGTGGATTTGAAACTGGAAGGCAGTTCATTGAGCATTGAGCCCGAGGTATGTTTCAAGGGGGGTGTGTTCCAAGAGGTCCTCCCTTCCCTTCTTGCATGAGGTTATTCCTCTTATCCTGTGGTCTTGAGACTTGCCTCCCCCACTGGAAGATGCAGCTGATGCTCTTATCAGTGGGGATGCGCTGATCGATAGGAGTCACTGCTGGGAGCTGAGGTCCCCAGAAGACCCCATTGCTCTCCAATAGGGGTTGACACTGAAATGAGCTGCTCCTGCAAGTCCATTACTGAGCTGACAGCAATTCCTGTGTGATTGCCACTGAATGGGAAAGGCGATGCTGAATGTGGATTTGTGCACATGGGCTAAAGGATTGCTGTGATTCCCCCCCTCCATCCCCTTTTTCCCATTTACTTCACGCACATCTCTGAGAGCCTGTTTAAAGATGCACTGGGGAGATGGGGGATTAGATAGGAAACCGGATTAGCCCCTTAGGAGTTCAACAATGTGCTTTTGGTTTAATATAGAAGACACCATTTAATACGCTTGCAGAAAAATGCACTGTTGCATAGCTGAGATGGCATTTTCCCATCCTGCTTTCTCTGCCGTGGCTTTTTCCCATTGGAGTGATCTATAAATACAGAGCAGGTGCTCACAGAACGTGGTCTGATCCGAAGGGAAGAGCTGGTGTCTGGTTTTATACCGGGACTTCTTGATTCCCTGCCTTCACTGCAGTTTGGTCCTGCTCCCATCAGGGAGGAGAGGGAGCCAGCACAAGGTCTCATGCTCTGTTAACACTGTCCTTGTGCATCCTTCTGTCTCTGACACTGGGGAAAGGATGCAAAGAGCTTGGCGTGCCCATGCCAGAGCTTCCAGAAGGGTTTTACTGAGTTAACTGAAGGTGTTAACCCAAAGAGAGAGTCAGGCACACTGAGAGATGACTGCATAGGCCTCCAAAGCGAATGGAGACTTGAACCACCGCACAAGGAGCTTGATTCCTTTAAGCTAATACAATCCAGAAAGACTCAGCTGACTATTCCTTAGTGTCCTGTGTCAACAAGGCCTTATTAGATGTTGGATCCTAGAAGCACTTGGGACAAACATCTTCCATGTGAAGTAAGAGGCATCCCATTGCCTCCTCTAACATTGCTGAGCCACTGCTGCAGCTCCCTCTGGTCCCCACCACCCTTGATAGCAGGGATTGCTGCTATGTGGTGTAGTTGCCAGTTAATTCTATCCATATGATGTGTTTCTTTGCTGTCACACCGAGACCAGCAGGGAAGAGTATTCCCTAATCCCTGACCATGATGTCACCTGACATTCCAAGACCACTGAGTGTCCCAAAGAGGCAGGAAGGGACCAGCAGCTTTGTCAGCCCATTCCTCCCACCACAGTGAAGGCCTGGCTGCCAAAAGGCTGTCACAGCCAATGAGGAGAGGATGATGCTTACATAGGGATTCTATGGAATAGCATGGGGAATGGGAAACGTCCCACAGATTGGCTTTTGTTACACCCCTTTGGCAGGGGTTTGAGTGTGTACCTAGGATTAGAAGACCTGAAGTCCCTTAAACCCCAATTTGGGATTGGGAGGGTTAGGACTGACACTAAGGATTTCCTCAGTTTTAGGCTGATTTATAGAATTTAGGTCAAAATTCCCGACTACGAGTGAATTTCTCCATTGCAGAATGAAGCCAGGGTGGGCTTTAACCACAGATTTGGGAATCACCTTGTTGTAGGTGAATAGGATGGGATGACCAAGCCATGCAGGCCAGAACTGAGGGATCATTAAAGACAAATGGTGATGAAAACCTTTCTCTTGGTGGAAGTTAGGAAGACTTAGGCAACCAGAGCATGAAGGGAAGGGCAGGGAGGTTAAATCCCATTATCCAAACCTCACAGCATCTCCATAGCCTCCTCTAGCCTCATTCCAACAGGTCCAAGTTGTGCAAGAGCAGAGAGAACAGGAGACTCGTCTTGAGTGCCAAGAGCCAGCTTTGACCCCCTTGCTTCCCCATTACCCACCCAGCAGCACCACTGATAGCATTCCTGCAAGGACCAGCACCATTTCCCATCCATTGCCTCACCTTGGAGGAATGCATTTGCTTCCCAAGCCTGCCGTTGAGGTGGAGCTTGTGTTGCAAACACCACTCTCTTGCTTTGGGATGCGTTTGGCATGGCCCCTGCTTTCCCGCTGGGATAGTCCTTGCTTTTCCCATTCGGGATGTGCCGTGCCAAGGCTGGATTTAGTATTGGTGACTGGCCTCTGCTGTTGCCTCGCTGATTCCTGCTCTGATCTCAGAGGATAACTCTCTCCTAGGCTGGTCCCGGAGCATTCCTTCCTTATCTCCCACCACCATGAGTTATGCTCACAAAAACCAGCCCTTCTTTCTTAGCACAGCCCAGCCAAAAGCCGTCTCCAGGGTTTCCAGTTGCGTGTGCAAAAATCCCACCTCCCTTTGCTTGCTCCTATTAGGAATAACCTCCCCTTTCAGGGACTAGGATGCTCCTTCAAGGGTGTTGGGCTTCCCAGAGGCTTGGTGATGGTGTCCCAAAGGGGTTAGGGCATTCAGCTCATGTTTTCCCTTAATGGAGAGCAGTGAAATAAGCAGCAGGTCCCTTATTTCTCCTTTAAGCTGTAAACTGGGCAGGAAAGCTCAAATCCTGGATGCTCTGCGTGTTCCCTGCTCCGGATTCAATCCAACCTGGAGAAACTGATAACCTGCTTCTACTCCTGGTGCTCCCTAAGTTAAAGGAGAGGAGCGTGGAGCCTGCCTGCAGCCCCATAGCGAAGCATCCTCCTCATCCCTCAGTGCTGGGGTGAGATGTGAACCAGAACTAATGGCAAATCCAACCGGATGAGGGGAGTTTGGCTTCAGTTCAAAGCCAGAGGAAGCCTCTGGTGCACAGAGGTGAGGAATTACAAAGGCAATGGAAGAGGCTGCAATCAGCAGGGAAAGAATACGAAAGAGCTGAGGGGAAATCAGATAGATCAGGATATCAAGCAGCCTGAGAGTGTCAGCAGCTCCCAGAGACCAAGCAACCACTAGATATAGAAACACCAACGCGTGGAGGTGGTTACAGTGCCTTAAATACAACCTGAGGAAGCCCTGGTTGTAGCTACAAGCTGTTGGAACTCTGCTATGGTGGAGCTGAAGCTGTTGGGAGCACAAAATGGATCCTGGAGCAGGGATGCAGCAGGACATCAATTCCCCTCCTCATTTGGTCCTTCACCAGCGTCACCCCATTGGTATGGGTGAAGTTATTCTTGTGTATTGCTGATAATTCCTGCTTATGGTACTTACTTCCCCCCCTCCCACCCCAAAATACCTCCAAGTGCATTGGCTTGGGTGGGTTTCCATGGCCAAACTCCTGCTGCAGGTAATGGAGAGTTATCCTGGATGCAGGGAATGTGGGGAGGAGATAACCGAGGGCAGAGATGGTGACTGCTTTAAGAAAGTGAGCAATTGTGAAGGGAAAGGAGTTAAAAAGAACCCAGTTATTTAAAGAACCCATATTATTTGGCCTGTGCTTCCCAGACTAGACATTTTTGATTCCAGTGCAAAGGAATACAGGCAGGACATCAAGTTACAAGCCAGAAATATCATGTAACCGGTAATGGCCCTTTATTGACATAGGAAGTGGGATGGTTTTGATCAAATAAGAGCCCACACAAATGATTTTCTGTGCTTAGGATTCACAAGGAAACCCTTTGAGGAGGTTTCTGAAGGAATGTGCTTGCTTATTTTGTTCCTGTGTTCTTTCAGCTTGTTCAGTTATTAAACAGAGGGCTCGATTGCAGGAGGAGCTTCAGCATCCCCTGTACTCAGCGTGGCTCTATCCCTGAGGCTTGCCCTCAAATCCATAAGGTAGGAGCCTGGCTGAGGTGTAAACAGTGGGAATTGCTTCTCCCTAGTGGAAAACACTTGGAATAGGGCTGAATGTCCCTTGTGCCAGGCTTCATCCTCTGCCTGCAGTGGTTGTCAGGGCAAACACAAGTGCCCTGTTTCACTGCTGGAGGGGTTTTGGGATGCTATTGGTGATGTCTGTGTTTGTAGGGGCAGCAGAACTAACCAGCCACTGAAGCCAGCAGTCCCGGTGTTGTGGTCCATCTCCCTGCCAGCTTTCCTCACCCGTTTGGAGATCCAATGATTCGTGAAGACCTCAATTAATTTGGGAAAGGGAATAAAACAGCGTTAAACGTGACGAATCTCCCGCTGCTGCCAACCCCACAGTCATTTCCGGACTCTTCCAGCTGGATTTGTGGATGGAATCCTTGAACTTCTCTGCTGACTGGCATCATTACAAGGTCGGTTGTGTTCCACTTCCTTCATTTCCTTTGGTGGCGGTGGTTTGGGAGGATGTGAAGTCATGAATATAGGGAGAAGGGGAACAGGTCCCACCTGATCCGTGCTCCCTGCTTAGTTGGCTGTTGGTAGGAAGAAGTAAACTCCAAGTGCCTCCATCTCACAAACACAAATAAGCCCTGCACAGCAACTTAGGCCATGCTGAAAGGCTCAAATATACACAAGGAGAGTGTTTATTTGAGCGGGCTCTCGGTTTCTCTGTCATTGTAGGAGAGCCAGAAAGCTAATTCCTGAGAAGTGGAGCTCTGGAAGCAGCAGGGAAGGGCCTGAAGTTATTCATGGATCTGGGTTTTGGTGTCTTTAGTCAGTTCTTGGACAAAAGGTTGTTTTGGCTTCAGCCAAACCAGCCTTTTCCTGAGCTCTTCATTTAGATGCTCTGATGTGATGCTCTGTATCCCAAGCCAGGCTCAGGCTTTTCTGCTTGCCAGGGCTGTTTTCCTCTCCACAGAAGGGTCTGCACTGCAGGGTCCAAGCCATGGATGGGTTTCCCTGGGATTCTATTGGGTTTGGAATGGTGTGTGGAGCAGTCTGGGATCTGCTGGAGACACTTTCTCCTTGCTTAAACCTCTGCTGCGTGTAAATGCACAGGCCTTACGCATTAGGCTGAGCTTTCACAGATGGACTGGGAAGAGCCAGTGCTGAAGCTGAAGCCAGCACAAGTGGAGTCTGGGAATAGCTGGCTCAGCAGGGAAGAGGGGTATAAACTGCAGGAAAGGAGGCAGATGAGATGGGGCAGTGCATCGAATCAAGGGAATGGGAATTATCTGTTATTAGGATGCACTGGAAAGCATCTGGGTCTGAATGGCTTCATACGGGGAGTTTGTCACATAGAATCACAGAACCCCAGCCTGGTTTGTGTTGGAAGAGACCTTAAAGCTCATCCAGTTCCAACCCCTGCCATGGACAAGGACACCTTCCACTGCATCAGGTTGCTCCAACCTGGCCTTGAGCACTGCCAGGGATGGGGCAGCCACAGCTTCTCTGGGCACCCTGCACAGATTCCCTATGGATGATGTGTGTAATAGTTCCCACTCCGCTTGCTCTCAGCTATGTCCAGCCTCTTGTACCTGTTTTAAAGGGCATCCCACAGCTGTAGGCTGCCCATGGCCAGGAAGTGACCAGAGCATTCCATTCCCTGCTACCTTCCTGACAAGCCCTGAGGCTTTTACTGCTTTCCTTAGCTTGGTTCTTGCCCCCTCAAAGCTTTCCATGTCACAGAAAGCGTCAGGATTTAATGCCAGCTTCAAGAGGCACCTCTGCTTTTCTTCCTTCAGCCCCATGTTGTCCTAAGTGGGGAGAGAAGGGGACCAAGAAGACATTGAGAGACCTCTGGAGCAAAGCGATGCGGGCTGTAGATCTATAGATTAAAGCGAGGGTGAAGGCCAAGTGCCAAGTGGTTGTGTCACTTGCAAGAGCCAGGGCCAGGAGCTGGGCTTAGCAGCACAAGTCTTTCCATTGCTGGTGAGTCACTTGCTGACACTTTTTGGCTGCCCTCCTGAGCTGGAAGGGGCTGAGGGAGAGCCATAGATGTGGGTTGGAAGGGACCATAAAGCTCATCCTTAAAGCCACAGGCAGGGATACCTCCCACTAGAGCAGGTTGCTCCAAGCTGGTTCTTCTAGCCATGGATAGCATCCCATCTGAAAAGGTTAAATGCAGCTTGTGGGTGCAAAGTGGTGGTGGGATGCTTGAGATGGAACCTTCCATCTGCGGGTGCATCCTCCTTTCACACCTGCAGGGTTATTTGCTGTCAGGCTTCTAAAATAAGCTTTAAATCTGCACTTCAGTTCAGGCTTTCCAGATTTGGGAGCTGTGAGAGTCAGAACTCCACCTCTCGGGTGCAAACACCAACCCTCAGCTTTCAACAACAGGTTTGGGTTTGCTGCAGGGAAGGCATTTCCCCTTTTGGAAACCTCTTTTCCACGTAGTGGAAACAAGGAGAAAAGCAGGAGGAAAAAACCAATGTGGTGCAATTCCCTTTCTATTCCCGAAGGGAGGAACACCACAGGCTTGTGACCAAAGGGACAATTCCCCTTTGGTGTGACCCCGGTGTCCAAGAGAGCAGCAGCTCCTTGTCTCTCATCTCTGATCATTCCTTGTGCTCCACATGAAGGCAACAGAAGCCTTGCCATTAATTCCCAAGGCTTTCAGATTGCTGTACTCATGGAAACTAACGTGAGCATTCCATATCCTGTTGAGTCTGCTTGGCTCTTCCCAGCAAACATGTCATTTAACGAAGCCCTTTCGTTTCAGATGCTGTTTAGATGATGCATAGAGAGCACAGGCATCCAGCTGGCAGGGAGCTTAGAGGAGAGGTAAAATGTATGAGGAAGAACAAGACCCTCCTTAGGTTTGGGCTCTGCAGTGGGGTGGAAGGGGCCGTGCATTGCTTGGGGGTTAAAACCAGCTCCAGGCATCATGGAGCTGTTGGGGATGGCAGAAACCTTGGACCTCTTCTGTCTTGGATTGTCATTGAATCCCAGTGTGGTTTAGGTTGGAAGGACCCTTTAAACTCATCTACTTCCATGCCTTTCACTAGAGCAGGATGCTCCAAGCCCCTGGCCTTGGGCACTGCAAGGGATAGGGCATAACTTTGGCTCTTTGCACCATGTGTAGGTTGGATCTATGGGATGTTAGTGGGTTTAATCTCCCAGTGCAGGACAACCTGGGAAAGGATGATTCACACTGCTTTGGCATCTCATGCCTGAATCCTATTGAAAAGAGCTTTCTTGGGACATAGAATGTGGCTTAGCTCAGCTTGCACCAAGGATGAGATACAAAGTGCTCTTCACCATGCCCTACTGCCTGTTGGATGACTTCTGGCTCCTTCCTACCTCAGTCCCCTCCACTGCATCCATGTGCAGAGCACAGAGCCGTGCAGAGTGCCTTTGGGAAGGGGCCAGCTCCATGTGTATAAGATTTCCATTAACTCAGGGAGGGAAAAGCTTGGGCTCAGGGCCCAGGCCATGCTGGAGAAGGCAGCGTGGCTGCAGTCATGATGCTTGTGTAGCAGTGAGACCCCAGCATGGGTTCTCACACCTACTTTGATGGGTGATGCCTTCACATGATGTGACAGCATCACCCATCGCTGAGCTCCTCCTGAGCTCCTGGGGGATGCGGGTTGTGCTAAGGATGCTCTGGGTGCTGCCAGCTTCCCAACACAGCCCTGCCAACCTTCTGCCATCCCTCCTGGGGCTGGTAGGGCAGGGAAGAGACAGCACTTAGCCAAAGGAGCTGGAATCCCTTCTCCCAGGCATGTGCAGAGCACATCTGGTCAGCAGGGATGTGTGGATTTGGGACCCTTTTCCCTGCACTGTGAGGCTGTCCCAGCTGGAGCCAGAACTCCTTTCCCCTGGGGACGTGCTGTGCTGACACATCCGCTCTGGCCACAACACAGCAAATCCTGCTTTCGTCTCCTTTTTAATCCTGCTCCAAGCCAGACAGCGCTCAGTGGTTCCCTTTTCCAGAGGGTTTGGCCACGTCAGGTCCTGTGGGGATGGTGCTGTCTTCTAAAGGGGCTGCAAGAAACCAGGAGAGGGGCTTTGGACAAGGGCCTGTAGGGAATGGCTTGAACCTGGCAGAGGGGAGACTGAGCTGAGCTCTTAGGCAGAAGCTCTTCCCTGTGAGGGTGCTGAGGCGCTGGCACAGGGTGCCCAGAGAAGCTGTGGCTGCCCCATCCCTGGCAGTGCTCATGGACACAGGGGCTTGGAGCAAGCTGCTCCAGTGGGAGGTGTCACCAGGTGAGCTTTGAGGTCCCTTCCAATCCCAGCCAGTCTGTGATCTATGATTCCCTCCTTCCCATACACACCAGAAGCCTCAGAGAGGGCTGTGAGTGGGATGGGTCCCATCTCCAGCTGAGATGCCACCCATTTAACCAACGAAGCACCCCTGCTTCCATGGAAAAGCAATACTTCCCCCATGGGACTCCACCTCAGGATCAGCAGTGCCCACCAAGACCTGCTCCTGGTGCAGACCTTGCCCCTTGTGCTGTGGCTTTATTTGGTCCCCCCTAGTGCTCAGACTACAGTAACTCCATCCCAGATCCCAACAGAATCCCTTTGCTGTCACTTCCACTTACAGTGACATTGCTACAGTGCAGAACAGGGCTTTGGCCACAGTGGCATTGGGGAACCTGTATCTGGAAGAGGGACCTCTCTCTGTCCAGCAGAACCCTCTGCACCCCTCCAGGAAGGGCTGGACGAGGCAGTAGTGATGCTCCCCGCTGCGTCTTTGCAGCCTGGCTGGGCTTAGTTTTGCTCCTGCAGCACAAAAGGACATTCTTGTCCCAAAGCATTTTTCCCTGCATACTTGCAGCGTGAGCAAAGCAGGAGGGGAGGGGGAGATTGAAAGGTTGGGGGGAATGAAATCTCACACAGGGCTTAGTTTACAAGGGACAGCTGAGTGTATAAACCCCGTCTCCAAAGAGGGCTGTTAGGAGCTTTGCTGGCAGCGGTTCCCCTCCTACCCCCAGCTTCTGGCTTAAGCTGCTTGGAGGGAGAAGAGAAAGGGGAAGGAAGGGGGGAGCAGTTCTGACTGCTCCAAAACTCAGGAATCAGAATGAAACCCCACTGACACACAGAGCACAGCACATGGGGCTGAGCACATAAACAGGGGGCAAGTGGGTTGGGAGGCTCTGGGGATGTGGGCAGAGTGGGGAAGGTGAGGGTTGTGCCTTGTGCAGCTGAGACATCGTTATGTGATGGGGTGAATGGGTCCAAAGAGGGGCAAAGACCTCCTCATAGAATCCCAGAGTGGTTTTGGGGTGGAAGGGACCTTAAAGCTCATCCTTAAAGCCATGGGCAGGGAAACCTTCCACTAGAGCAGCTTGCTCCAAGCCCCATCCATCCTGGCCTTGAGCACTGCCAGGGATGGGGCATCCACAACTAACCCTGGGCTATTGGGAAGCAAGAGGCCCGTTGTTTGTAAAGGGCTTTGTCCTTCATATTGATGCTATCTCTGGATCTATCTAAGTCGTCTCTTGGGATAAAACTCATTTTGAAGCCCCATGTGTAATTAGGGAGCAATGTTGGGCAGCAGGGGGGATGCAGCAGGGTTTGGACCCTTCCCTGTCCATCTCCCATACCAACCATCCTTAAAACTGTTATTAATGCAGTGAAAAATCTCCCTTTTCCAAGGTAATGTGTTTCCATCCCATCCCAAACAGCCACTAATGCTGCTCCTAAATGTGCATTTCATTTCCATCTCACAGGTCTGTGTGCACTGCCTCAGCTGGGGCACAAGTGCTTATTAAAACCATACTTGCTGTGCATTAACAACCCCATACACATGTATCTCTCATTAAACGCTATGGGCTGGAGGGAGGATTGGTGCCCCAGGCTCTCTCTGTGAGATCTCTCAGCGCCACATGCAATAAATATGGTTTTAATAAGCAGTCATTAATAACTGGACAATAACAGCTTTATTAAGCTTGGGAACCTTAATCCGGGACTATATTGTGTAATGGAATATACTGGAATTCAGCTTCATTTTCTTATAGGCTTCTTGCTATTGGTGGGGGGGGGAAGATGCATTCCCTGAAGGTCTGATCCTGCCCTGGGATCTGCATGGAGCTCTTTACAGGACTGGAGCACTCGAGCATCCTTCGGAGGAGGGATGCAGTGGGAACACAGCCATTGTTTCACTGGGGGGGGATACTTTATACTGGGTAAGGAAGGAAACTGCTGTTGATCACTACTTGCAATAGTGATTTGGGAGGAGGAGGAGGAGGCTGCTTTGGCCCTGCTGGCTCTTCCTCTCCCCTTCTCTAGCAACTGCAGCATGTTGCAACGCGACGTTAGGTCCCGACCTCGCTGCATCTCCATGGGTGGGCATTGCAGAGCCGGCCTTTTCGTTCCTTGTGGGGGCTGCAGCTCCTTGAGCAAGCAGATAAAGGCCACAGCACTCAGGTTCTGCTGTCTGTGCTTAACCCCTGCCTACCAAACCGCAGGGCTTTGCAGCATCAGGCTGAGCCTGGGCTCTGCTGCCTCTCGGTTGGCTTTACCTTTAGGAAGCAGGGAGTATGGAACGCAAGCACAAGCAAGCAGGCAGGAGCAAAGGATGCCAAAAAGGAATCCCACTCTTTATTAGATGATGATAAAACCATGGTAAAATAACAATAAGAGCCTGACACAACTATCCAAAGTACATGAAGTGCATGGGTTTGGCTGGAAAAATCTCAGGACAACCTACAGCGCAATCCTAAGCTGTTGGAAAGCTATTGTAGCCTATCCCACCACTGGTTTACCACCCCTGCATCCTCCCTGACTGCTGAGCTCTGCGTTTGCCTTTCTTCAATGGGTTAGTTTCCATTTTACACTGTCTTCCCGGCACAGCAAACTGGTTTTCAAGCCATCAGCTCCAGTCCTTTCTAGGATCTCAATCCTCAAGCCATTCCCCTTTGTCCTGTCCCTACAGGCCCTTGCATGCAGCAGGTTGCACTTCCCTGGCTGTGTTCCAGTTGCAA